ACAAAGGCAGTAATTGCTTTTTACCGTTGTATCCGTGGTATCTAGCCCATACCAATCTCTATATGTTGCTCAGAAAATGGTTTAGAATGAGTGAATAAATGATCAAGATTTCATTGCCATTATTCTGCTTACCCCAGCTCCCCCGTGTTAATTTCAAATATACTACCCTGACTTATTTACTCTGAGTCCTTGATTACCACCAGTCTTCATTTCCACTAAGATCTCCAATTCATGTGTGTTGTCACTTTGTTACTGTTATTCTCTTTACGTCCTCATTTCCATGGTCATTGCTGAAATCACTCAGATATCTTTATTTCTCCTGTCCCTTCCATTTGTGTCACGTATCTGGCAAAACCCCAACTATCTGCCTACTCCCTGCTTGTACTCAAGCTGAAGCTGCTAGAGAAAACCCACATCTGTGTGTCTGTTCTCACTTTAATTTTAAGACTGCAAATCTCAGATGGGAGACCATGCAATCCTACGATTCTGTAGTGAATATGTTTCTCTAATCTCCAATACTGACTTTTTCCCCCTTAGACCTCTTCATCCTCAGCTTGATTCCTACCATATTGAACTTTGTCTGCAATCAGATATTATTAGATGTACCTATTTTCTCGCTGTCTCAGGTGGTAACCTGTCTGTTTATCCATGCTCTTTGCCTTCCCCTATTAAAATGAAAGTATTCTTAAAATAATCTAAGCTCAGCCCCTATACTTATGTTCTGGATTTCACCTCTACTTACCCACTGCAGTATGTAAAGACTTCTTTGTATTATATTACTAGTGTCTTCTCCATGACTAGCTTATTCTGATTGGCATATAAGCATGCTTAAATATCGTTTATAAATACATACCCATACATCCTGGTTCTCTCCATCCGATGCCTCCTTGTGGATACAATCCCATTTCTCTGCTGCTCTCTACAAAAAACAACAATAAAAAAACTCCTTGAATGAGCTTTTAATATTTGCTTATTTTAGTTTCTCTTTCAGTTTCTGCTTACCCACTCTGAATGGTCATTCTATACCACTACTCCAAAGTAATTGGATGGATAAAGATCCAACTCATTAAGTCCAGTGTTCCTACCCCTCCCTCTCTAACCTGTGAGCATCATTAGACCAGTTGACCACTCTTTGAAATATTTTTTTCTTTTCATCTTGTTACTACAGTCTTGGATTTTTTTCCATATCACTGATTTGCCCAGTTAATCCAGGGTGTAGGGTTTCCTTTTTTTTTTTTTCTGACTTAATTTTTTTATTAGTTGCTCAAAACATTACAATGATCAGAATCATGTCATACGCAAATAGTGCTAATTTAAGTTCTTCTTTTCCTATCTTAATGCCTTTAATTTCTTTCATCTGTCTAATTGCTCTGGCCAGTGTTTCGAGAACTATATTGAATAGAAGTGGTGATAGAGGGCATCCCTGTCTTGTTCCAGATTTTAGAGGGAATGCCTTCAGTTTTTCTCCATTTAGAATGATGCTAGCCAGAGGCTTATCACAGATAGCTTTTACAATGTTAAGTTCCTGTTATCCCTAGTTTTTCTAGTGTTTTGAACATAAAGGGATGCTGTACTTTGTCAAATGCTTTTGATGACCAAGTATTTAGGAGGCTCTAATATGTATAAAAGGTTCTAAAGTATATGTAGTCTTGATTCCTTACTCAACTTCCAGACTCAAACTTAAGTGCCTTCTTGAAATCTTTACTAGGATGATTAAAGAAATTGCATACTTAATATAACCCAAATTAGACACCATTTCTGCCATTAAAATATCTGGCCCCCTCTCAGGAAATGATGCCATCTTTTGTCAGTTGTTCAGATTGAAAGTCTGAGAATGATGTTTGATTGATGATGTTTTTAACACTTTAACATTTAGATGTGTTCTGATTTCTGTATCTTCTTAACCTACTGTGTAGTTCCAATCCAAATTACCACCTACTCCTGCTTTGACTATTAATAGGTCTGGTCTCCCTGATACATTCTGATTTTTGTCCTTATGTCACTTCCAGGATGATCTTTTAATGGTAGGAATCTGTTTATGTGATCTCCCTCCTTTCAGTCTTCCAATGTCTTAGGAGTAAATTCTTGTATTTGTTGCGTGGAACCTATGATATTCTCCCGAAAGATAGTTTTCCTTAAATAATTCTTGGCAAACTGACATTTCATAGGTAAAACTTTGTAAAGGCATTTTGTTTGTTTTGTCTATACAGTATTGGCCTTTTTTAAAATTAGAAAAACTTTACATGTTAAAAACAATGCCAGGCATGGTGGTACACACATGTAACTCCAGTGACTCAGGAGGCTAAGGCTGGGGGTTGCTAGTTCATGGCCAGCCTGGGCAACTTGGTAAGACTCTATCCCAAAATAAATATAGAAAGAGCTCAGTGGTAGAGTGGGTTCAATCCCTGGTACTGCCAAAAAACAAAAACCCCCATAAAACTCCATAGATTCCGCACCTCCCCCCCTTGAAAAAAATCAAGGTACCTGACCACACTGGCCCTGTGTTTGCTTATAGTTGCAGTAGGGTAAGTAGGGGCTGGTGTCCTTCAAAGGAAGTGTATGTTCTCTCCAATTTGGTGTGGCCTCTGTCACTCCCCAGGTGTCCTGTAGCTAGCCTGGTATACTTACAAGGATAATCTCCTTTTGCATTTTAGACCCCTCCCCTAAAGTCATTCATTCATTCAACAAATATTTATTGAATAGTAAGAACTTTGTGCCAAGCACTGTTCTAAGCCCTTACAATAAAGCAGTGCATAAAACAAAACCCTGATCTCATGAATTTTATATATTTTCAGATAGAATAGTCAGTGTATAAGTAAACAAATACATACAAGATGTCAGGTGGTGATAAATTCCACATGATTAAAAATGAAACAGGCTTAGGGATATAAAATGCTTTAGAGATGGTGCACAGGGAAAGTCTCTAGGAGGAATTGATATTAGAACATAGTCTAGAATATGTACGAGATGAGGCTTAGTAAATGTTTTGAAGAAAATTATTTTGGGGTGGGGTCAGCATGTATGAAAGATCTGAGAAGTTGTGTGGTATGTTGAATGACAACAAGAAGGCCTGTGTGACTGTTGTGCAATGTGGTAGGCAGTGAGTTTGGGAGACCAAGGCCACAGGATGCAGGGCCTTAGAGTCTATGGTGGGCTCTGGGATTTTACTGTGAGATAGGAAACTATGGAAGGGTTTTGAATAGGGCAGTGGTATGGTTTGATGTATTTTAAAATAACACTTCTGCCTTGTGGTGAAAAGTCGGAGCAGGGACAAGTGTGGTAGGTATAGAACTTACAGAACTTGTCTGGGGGTTATAGGAGTGAGAAATGGTGACTTAAACTAGAGATACCTGTGAAAAGTGAGAAGTGCTTAGGTTAGAACTTAAAGGTTGAGCTTACGAGGGTTTTCTGACGAATGTGTACAGGATGTGGAAAATTGAAGCGTGGAGGCTCACATTCTAAGCACTACAAAAGTAAATGTCAAGGGTTCCTTTTGAATATGGAAGATTTGAGGATACTCTGATGACAAAGTACAAATCGAATATAAAGTTCACCTAGAGGATAAGCTTGTATCTTTTTTTCCCTTACTTTTATTTAAAATTATTTTTTTAATGTGGTGCTAAGGAGTGAACCCAGTGCCTCACACGTTATCCTAGGCAAGCTCCCTACCACTGAGCCCAGCCCTAGCCCAGCTTATATCTTTTTAACATGAGATTTTCAAAAGACCCTGAGTTCTTTAAGACCAGAGACATTGTTGGGCTTTCCTCCCCACCCCCTTCCTTCCTTCCTTCCTTCCTTCCTTCCTTCCTTCCTTCCTTCCTTCCTGTGAGGTAGTATCTGACATGAATTTGATGCTCATTGCTTTTGTTAAAGAATCCAGAAATTTTTGCTATAGTCCTACTTCTATAACTACTTATTATTTTCATTATTTATATACTCTCATAATACTAGGTTTTTAGTTTTTTGGGGGGGGAAATAATTTTTTTTAATTGGTTGTTCACAACATTACAAAGTTTATCTATATTTTTATAGTACTACATTTTTATGGCAGAAACACTCTTTAGGGTTTATAACTTCTTAATCAAATTAACAGGTGATATTTAATTAATTTTTTTTTAAGCAAGTTCGGTGAATCTCTTGTGACTTAGCAGTGAAATCATTGCAGAAATGATTTGGGGATGAGGATCCATGTGAATAATTTTATCTTTACCATGGGCTATAGAATGCAGTTTCACTATCACTTGAGTAATCACATTTAAGAAGGATTAACCTTTGCAACCTAACAAGGTGTAAGTAGACATTTAATAATTTTTTTTTTTTTGAGAGAGAAAATCTTTTTTTTTTTTTGTAGATGGAAACAACACAATGCCTTTATTTTTATGTGGATCCCGCCCGTGCTAAGCGGCTAATCGAGCGCTCTACCACTATCCACAATCCCAGCCCAATAATGTTTTTTTTTAAATATTTATTTTTTAGTTTTCGGTGGACACGATATCTTTATTTTTTTTTTATGTAGTGTTGAGGATCAAATCCAGTGCCCTCCGCATGCCAGGCGAGCCCGATACCGCTTGAGCCACATCCCCAGCCCTAATAATTTTTGAAGTAAATCTTGTCTAAATTTTGCAACTCTATCATCAAACAGTGACTATTATTAACTATATACTATCACTCATTTGTGAATGTAAAAATACTTCGTAAGTGGGAATTAACTGCTTTGTGGGATTTTCATAATATTAGCCTTAGTTTTCAAATGACCTTATTAAATGAAGATATATTTAATTGCCTTATGACAAGTGATTGAAAGTAAGGGTAGAGATAGCATTAAGATATGACATTTTAAGTATTTGCCTATAAGGAAAGTTTGGTTGTATGGTAGCAATATTTTGATAAGCTGGATAACATTCTAGTTCTGTTTTCTTATTAAACAGTGATTTTGTAAGAGCAATATAAAAGTTTGTTACTTATTAGTCAAGGGCCTAATTATTCCTTCTTTTGTATAGGAAGATTTTCAGTCAATGACTTATGGATTTAAAATGGCTAACAGTGTGACAGATCTTCGAGTTACAGGTAAAGGAATTTATAAAGATCATTTCACAAGTTTTATGTTTGGATTTTTTTCCTTTTAAAACTTACTATTTCTCTTTCTAGGCATGCTAAAAGATGTGGAGGATGACATGCAAAGAAGAGTAAAGGTATATATGTTTCTTTCTTTAATGAAGGGCTCTGGTATTCTTTTTATTGTTAGATTAACTTTATTTAATTATAAATAGCTATCATTTCAAGTATTGAAAATTTAACGCTCTCAGTTCTTTCTTTCTTTCTTTTTTGCTAAGTTTTAGACTTTTAATATGATATTTTAAGAATAGTATTTTCCCCTACTAGAGTTTGTTAAATTCCTCAGAAGTCAGAACTGTCTTCTCCACTGTTGTATCTTTAGTAGCTGGTATGGTGTCTGAACATAGTAGGGTGAGCTTAGTACATAGTGACCTTGCAATTCTGGTGAAAGCCTTCTTGATGACATCTCATCTTGATATGAGACTGATGATTTGTCTTCATAGAGATAAAGAAGGGGAAAAAAATAAATTTATACTGATTAACCCTCATAAAGTAGTTTGATGGTCAAAGAAAAATGTAACTATTCTTTTTTTTCTTTTTTACAATTATTCAGTGAATTAGGCAGTCAAATATATACACAGTGCCTCACTTTTAGGTGAGGAAAATACAGCTCAAAGGAGTTAAGATAAGCCATCTTAATCTTAAGGACATATAGTGAATGGTAGCTTCAGGACTAGAAACCACATCTACTCCTAGATCTTCCTGTGCTAATGCCCTGGAATTTTCTCAAATACATAAACTTTTATTGACAAGACATTTTACATTTCAATGTAAAATCAGATCAGTACAGGTGATGTAACTTTATGTTGTTATTTTTGTAAAGGTTGCTAATACTTTTTGAAAGTGTTAGAAAGTTCTCTCAGTAGATATATTTCCTTTTCCTTTTTTTTTTCTTTTGCTGTTTCAGTATTTGATTCTTTTCATGATCTTTATAATTTGTATCAAAGTGAATTTTCTGTATGTAACATTAATAGGATGGAAATAAATACTGGACACACCTTTTTTTCCCCTAAATAAGTTTCCCCCGAATTAGATCATTAGATCGTAGATTACCTTTGTGCTTTCTTTACATTGTATATTTATAATCTGATGCTTCTCCAGGCTGTATTTAATTTACCTTTTTTAAAATTTTAGAGTACTCGAAGTCGACAAGGAGAAGAAAGAGATCCAGAAGTTGAACTAGAAGTAATTGAACTTATTTTCTGGTAGATAATATCAGAGAAGTCTACCTCTTAATGTTGTAGTTTTATGAACTGCGTTATAATTTATGGAAGCCCTTTTTAAGGTATTTCTTTAAAAGTTGGACATTGCAAGGGATTTTGATTCCCTTGTATTTATTTTGATAGCATGATAATACAGGTCTTTGAAATACATGATTTCAGAACTCTTCGATATTCCTGTGAGGTAGGAAGAGAAAAAAGGATCTTTTACAGATGATACACAATAGCTTGGTAAAGCTCAAGAACTTCCATATTATCAAAAACGAACCTTTGGGGCTGGGATTGTGGCTCAGCGGTAGAGCGCTTGCCTAGCACAGGCGGGACTTGGGTTCAATCCTCAGCACCGCATAAAAAATAAAGGCATTGTGTTGTGTCCATCTACACCTAAAAAATAAATATTAAAAAAACAAAAACAAACAAAAAACGAACCTTTGTAGAGATCCTAGATTTTCTGACTCCACTTTTAGTACTTTTTAATCCATCCTTTTTAAATGCTAATTAAATTAATTTTAATGTAATGTGTAACTTTTGACTTATGAAAATCAATTCTGTTGCTAAAGAAACATATCTGTTTGAAAAGAAGAGGCTTTATTTTATTATGTTTTCTGTAGCTTGTTTTTCAGGCATTAAAACCTGTAAGTGAAGATGTGTGTACTGTAGTAAGTTATTAACATTGAGATTTAGGAGTAAAAATAATATATTTTGAAATGAGATTCTTTTGACAAACATTGCATGTTTTAATTTCTAGCCCTTTCTTGTTTTTTTCCTAGCACCAACAATGTTTAGCAGTATTCAGCAGAGTGAAATTTACTCGTGTGTTACTGACAGTGCTTATAGCTTTTACTAAAAAAGAGGTAAGGACATTTACTGTAACTTGTCTCTCTGTTTTAATGACTTTTGGATGGAATGCCTTATTGAAGCAGTTCTGAGACTTTTCTATTGAAATGCTCCTGATCTCAAATGTAGAGCCCTCAACATTTGGTGTTTTTACACCGAACTTTCATGAATTTTACATTCTACTGCATGATATATTTATATCTATGGTGTTGATAATAAGCATGATATTTTATATTACATTTTAGTAAATAAAGTAATAGAAGCTTAAATCGCTTGTGGACTGTCATGTTTCTTTGATTGAAAAGGAGAGAATAAAAATGAGAATTTTAGTTTGGCCTGTTCCTCCCTTCAGTTAAATTAACTGTTGGATTTGCATAGAACAAAAAGCAAGTCCTAAATTGTGAGTGCTTTTTCTTTTGTGTATTTTGGCAGTAACTCAGTTAATTACAGATTAATTTGTGGTGAGTAGAGATCCAACCTTTACCATTGGCCTAACTTCTATAATTCTGTTTTTCCTGGTTCTGCCACCAACACCATCTTGGTGAATAATGTAGTAGAAGTGTTGGTTCTTTTCTATCTTTCAGTTGACTACCTCTCTGGTTTTTATTTTTAACAAATAGATTAATACAGTAAATCAAAAATGTTGCTAATTTTTTAAGTAGGTCCTCTAAAGTACAGATATCAGGAAAAAAAAAAAAAACCTAATTTTTATCTTGCCAGGATCTGGGCATCCTGTATTAAGTGAATAATTTGTGAAAACCAATATCATTGCAGCAAATATTTAATTTCATTATTGTTTATAGGATTTTCCTATTTAATGTATATCTTTCAGTGAAAGAATATGTAAGAATGTTTTTGGTGATTTGTTTGCTAGACCAGTGCCGTTGCAGAAGCTCAAAAATTGATGGTTCAAGCAGCAGATCTTCTTTCTGCCATTCATAATTCATTGCATCATGGCATCCAGGCCCAGAATGACACTACAAAAGGAGGTAATTGTCCATTTTGCTCTTACTTTTTTTCTGCTTCATCCAGAATAAATAGTATTTGTTTAGTTCTGCAATTTCATTTAAGTTAATCTGTGTAGATCTTGGAATGTTTCCTCCAAAGTCTTACATAAAGTGTTTTAGCCTCCTCTTTGTACATTTATTCTAGACTGAAAACAGTTTTGCAGAACTGGCCATCTCCTTTATCTTGGACTCTTCATGTGTCTTGTGTTTATACTCTGATGCAGAAACTTCTTTTTAAATCACCTTCCCTCTTTACTCCTTTGTCTGAGAAATCATAATATCCATCTTACAACCCACCCTCATTTTACTTGGTAAATTAGGCATTTTTTCTCTAGCTTCATTTCATTCATACATACCTCATACATACATTCATACATACACTGAATTGTTAACCTATCCATCTCTCCCTAAGGTTTTGAGTACTTTTAAGAAGGGACTGTTTCTTCTTTGTACATTATTATATACTTGGTATGTTGTTGGCACTCATTTTATTTATGAAGTGTGCCTTAAAATAAAAAGAATATTATACCTTTGTTGTAAAATTTGCAACAGGGTTAATGTTTTAGGTTAATGAGTTGGTATTTATATTTAAATTAGGGTTTCCCAGTGTTGTTGCTATAACCAAGAAGGCAGTTTTTATTTTTACTGATTGTCACCTTTTAACTTTCTGCCACTCTCCTCCTTTCAGGGGCAGGAGTTATGATATTATCCTTCCCACAAACTTTTCCTTGCTAAATGTTAGGTAATAGAGCAGTCAGGAGGAAATTTGGGTAAGGATATCGGTATTCTCATAATCTCTACATTTTTAGTGATTATACTGTATTATTATTAACATATCAATATTTATTTCTAGGAGGTGGGTATGTAGATATATTTATGAGATGAGTAATAAGGTGATAGTTTATGACCATGGGATATTTAAAAAAAAAAAAAGACTATGCATAGCAACACATAGTACATGTTTAAGAGAGATATATAATATCTACAACTCTTAAATATTTTGAAATTGAGTACAAAAATGTTACTATGAAAAGCATGGCTTTAAAGTAATTTATTGATTTGTGTAATGAGAAAATATTAATGACACAAAGCAAAAAGTCTTCCAGATTACTGGAAAGTCATGTTCTTCTTTGCCATACTATTTTATACCTGTAATGAAGCAAATTTTTGAGGATGATTGCCATAGGATTATTATTAGCTTCAGCATATGGCTTCTCTCATTTCAAACCAGGGGTTTTAGGGAAAAAAAATTTTTTTTTTCCTGTATGTATCGTCTTCATTATTTCTCTGATTTTGTAGTCCAGTGACAGATAAATTCAGAAAAGTTATTTACATAAAATTAGCTGATTACACTTTTTATGACTAAGCAAAATTTTAAATTTAGGGAATATTAACCCTGTCCTTGGTCTTAGCTTTCTTAATTTAACTTTGTGATTGTCCCTTAATCATAAAGCATAAAAGTGTTATAATAAAAAAGTTGGGTCGAGCATGGTAGCACATCCCTGTAATCCCAGCAGCTTCGGTGGCTGAGGCAGGAGGATCAAAGCCAGCCTCAGCAAAAAGCAAGGCGCTAAGCAACTCAGTGAAACTCTGTTTCTAAATAAAATACAAAATAGGGCTGGCGATGTGGCTCAATGATCAAGTACCCCTGAGTTCATTCTTTGGACCCCCGCCCCACACTGTTCTGTATGCGCCCTGCCAAAAACAAGTTGGGACCAGGCACAGTGGCACACTCCTGTAGTCCTAGGGATTCGGAAAACTTGAGACAGGAGGATTATAACTAGAGAGACCCTGTATCAAAATTTTAAAAATAGAGAAATATAAAAGGCTGGGGATGAACACAGTGGTAAAATGTTCCAGGTTCAATTCCCAGTACCAAAAAATAAAAATGAAATTGTACAAAATGAAAAAGTTGGTTTGGATTATAGATTAATGGCCCAAGACCATCGATTCAATCCTAAGCACTGAAAAGAAAAGTTACTACCTTCCTAAATGATTATTCTAAGAAGAATGATGAGAAAACAATAGTGTAGATTAACATTGGTTTCAGATTACTAATTTTATCTGCCAGTTATTAAAATTCCAGCTGTGTAAAGCTTGAATCACTGAGCATTCATTTTATCTTCTTAGTAAAAAGGTACTTAATGGGTAGGACTTGGGAACATTGGTATTAGGAAGAAAAACAGAGTCAAACTTGGTCTAAGAAATACATGCTGGTAACTGGGTGCCTTAGGCATACCTGTGATCCCAGTGGCTCAGGAGGCTGAGGCATGAGGATCATAAGTTCAAAGCCAGCCTCAGAAACTTAGTGAGACCCTGTCTCAGAATTTAAAAAAAGAGGGCTGGGGTAGGCTGAGGATGTGACTCAGTAATTAGGCACACCCCTGGGTTCAATCCCTGATATCCAAAAACAAGAAAAAGAAATACTTGCTGGTGGTTTTATTCAATGAATATCAGTATCTTAATAGAGATTAAAAAGGCAGAAGTGGTTTGGGAGGTGAATAAATGGGGTAGCACAGAGGTAATAGTTTATTTTTATGTAATAATATGGAGTAGTCCAATAGAATAGTAAATATATGGCTCTGGAAAATGGATGGAAAAGCAGATTTTGGAGTTATATGAAATGTGCATTGAAACTCAATATGTGATTACTCAGGGCTTGCTGGATTCAGAAACTTAGGTTATATCTTTATTGAAAGAATGAAGGAGAGAAGATGTTGGGAAGCTCATATTGCTTTTAATGTATCTTGAATTTTACACTTTTTTATGTCTGTGAAATGATATTTAAGTCATCTTCTTCAAAAACACTTTGTAGATACCACTTGTCAAATATATTTCAATATATTTCTCTCCCATGTTCTCTCATAGTTATCTGTGGGGTTAGGTTCTAGTTAACCCTTGAGATAAAAAGCG